GTTGGTGAAAAACACTCTGAAAACGCCTTTATCCTCTTCCACTTTTTTACCCGTCAATGCCAATATCAGACCAAGATTGTACCTGGGTTCCGTGATTGCTGAAACCAGCAAGGAGGATGCCATGGAGCCGGAAGTGAAAGAGGAGGACGAACGAAGGTCGTCCACGCCGAGTCCCGAGGTAATACTTTTATTTTCTTTTTTTTAATTTTTTTATTTTTATCTTATTTATATTTAATCTTTAGTTTATATGATCTATTTTTTCCTGTATTCAATTTCTTCTGTTTTGGTTGATTCTCAGTTAATGCATGATATGATGTGTGATTGATAAGTTTGTGATGATAAACTGAGATGACACTGAAATTGATCGAGTTAAATTGTGTACATTTTTTTCTTTTGTCGAACGATTGTTTTTTCAAACTTGAAGAGAAGCCTGTAATGCGCAAATAGAACAGGTGTACTTGTATCTTATAAAGGAATGCGGTTTTTGATAGCAATAAATCAATTTCTTTCTTACAGTCATTTTGCATTTTAACTTGGAATCTGTGAAATAATTTGATAACTTTTGATATATCATATGGTATCAATTAATGTTGATCGATGATTTTAATTTGAAGCTTTTTTTTCTTATTTGTTGATTATTCAACTTTATTTTGTTACTTCTACGTATTTATAAAGTATCAATGATGAAAGCAAAATTACCATATACCGTTATATTTCATTATCTTCTATAATAACAGAATGTCACCCTATTGTCTAGCACGATGTAAACCTTTATTGTCAAACAATAACGATAATTGCATCAAAGATAGTTAATGCAATTTCTAAAAGCATAAGCACAATGTCTAGTACTGCATCATAATAAGTGTGTAAATTAATTAGTATCTATAGGGATGTTGGAGAATATGTAAATGAAATGCGTGATGTACGAGATTCTTCGTTTCGAATAATAAAATTTGCCTATTTATATAATTGTTGTTTCGTGCTTGACAATCTGTTGAAACTTTCGAAAGGAACTATGCATATATATCTTTATAATAATTTTAATAACCGGAAAATTACATACTGCATACTTATATAACTAAATCAGATATACTAAAGATAGGTTATGTTAAAATTATATCATTGATATATTTTTTCTTATTTGAAAAGATTTGTTATGATGTTTTTAATTTTAAATAAGATGTAATTTAAAAAAAAAAATGGCTGGAAATTACTGATATTGCCTCGTGCTAGTAGAATACGAGTCCTTCCTATATACACTTCTACCAACGTAGTCGCGTATTGATTTTACAGAGAACTCATTCCATCTTTCTCTAACCATAGTTATACACGTTTACTCGCACATATGCATTTTCTCTCTTGCTTGCGCTTCTTATCTCTCTGCTTTTCTCTTTCGTCGCTCTTTAACTTGCTCTGTTACCCCAAACATTTCCCTAAGAATTTATTTCGTCCGTTCTGTACAAGAAACGTAAATAAACAAGAACATTAATTATTTTGTATCGAGTAAATTGGAATTAATCTCGTGGTTTCCATTTTGTTTTCAGCGGGAAATTCAAATTGAATTAAAAAAAAATTTTATTTTTTTTCTTATAATAATAATATAATCTAAAAATAATATAAATTAGTGAATATTTATATTTTATGTAATATATATTTTTGCGAAAATGTCAGAAAAAATTCTAATATTGAAAGATCAAAATTCACTTGTGATAAAACAATTGATAGAATTTGTAAATAAAATTAATAATAAAAAAAATAAAATGTAAGTAAAACTTCTTTTAACACAAAAACTTCTTTTATGTTTAAAAAAGTTTATATTATTTTTCTTGAAAATTTTTTAAGATTATTTGTTATTATTAAATAAAAATAAATATTTAGTAGAAGCATTTTATTATGTTTAGCAGATATATATAAGAAGAAATAAACGTTACAATGAGGGTGGAAGTAGCGAAGAAGATAGCAAACCGGATACATCCCTACAAGGTCATAGAATACCGTCTTCTTATCGAGGAACTTGGCCCATCAGAAGAGACATATGGGCTAATCAACAAATGGGATTTTCCACTCAACAAGGCACATCAACCACTGTACATAACGTAAATCACTTTTTTGTGAATTATACGTCACACAATCGAAGAAAGAATAATAGTCAATTTTAAAAATTTGATAAACTTAAAATGAAAAAAATATATATTTATCTTTCTGTAATAATAATAAATATTAAAAATAATTAATAAATCATTTCCAAAAAAAATTATGTTAAAAAAATATGAATATAATAAAAATAAATACAAAATACAAATATGCATCGCAAGTTGAATGAATAGTGCAACATTAATAAATACATAATCTGTCATAGAGACGTCACTGAAATAGGAGCAATGACCTGTGAAAATGAAGTTTGACTCATTGTGTTAAGCACTATTATAAAATATATAGCATTATATAAAATATAAAGCATTATTATAAAATATTTACGCAGCAAAAAACCTATAATTGATTGGATAAAATTCATTGTGATTAATTAATTAATTTTATTTCATAATTATTTAATTAATATATGATTAATAATTTATAATTTAATTAAAAAAGATTTAAAATACATATAATAAACTATGTAATGTATTTGGAAAAAGCAGACAATTATTAATTGTTATTAAAATTTCAGATAAAAAAAGCAAAAAAATTGAAGCTTTTCCTGTATAAAAATAATTAAAATATCTTTCAAAAAAATAACTATTCTGTTTTTATTAACTTCATAAAAAAGTTAGTTAGGAAAACATTGTAGAAATAGCATTTTATTAAAATTATTTAATTATTAAAAATTTATTTTTTTAATTACTATTTATTTAATAAAAAAAATATAAAAATACTTTTCAAATTACAACTAAAAATACTAACATTCACCCTCTCTCTCACAGGATATAGCTAGCGTGATGAGCTTTTCTTCAAATTCGGGTGGGGCTTTCGGCTGTTCTACGGAAATACAAGGAGATCGAAGATTAGGAGCAAAAGTAGACGTGGTGTACAATCTATTGGGAATGTTAGGCAGTACAGAGGGCCGGGAAGATATGAGTGCAACGTTACTCTCAATGAGTAATTCGATAGATAATTGCCTCATAATGAGACAATCAGGATGCCTGCCATTGTTGGTACAGTTAATTCACGCTCCAGGACAAGATCCAGAAACCAGAGAAAAAGCATCAAGAGCTTTGCACAATATAGTATACGCTAAAAGTGACGAAAGGGCAGGACGTAGAGAAGCAAGGGTTCTTCGATTTTTAGAACAGTTACGAGATTATTGTCAAGCACTGAGAACGTCTCTGCAAACGGGACAGATTCCTGATGATTTAGAAAGACATCCTGGACCGACTATAGCAGCATTAATGAAACTTTCCTTCGATGAAGCTCATCGTCACGCCATGTGTCAACTCGGTGGACTTCACGCGGTCGCAGAACTAATCGAGATGGACCACATGGCACATGGAAGCGAATGCGATGACCAAAATTGTATCACTTTACGTAGATATGCTGGAATGGCTCTGACTAATTTGACTTTCGGCGATGGAAATAATAAAGCATTATTATGCTCCTTCCGGGAGTTCATGAAGGCACTAGTCTCGCAGTTGAAGAGTCCAAGCGATGATCTTAGACAAGTAACAGCATCTGTATTAAGAAATTTGTCGTGGCGAGCTGATACCAGTAGCAAACAAACATTAAGGGAAGTAGGAGCTGTGACTGGTTTAATGAAGGCTGCGATGGAAGGTAGGAAAGAATCAACGCTCAAATCGATATTGTCTGCATTATGGAACTTATCGGCACATTGTAGTACGAATAAGGTAGACATTTGCGCCGTGGATGGTGCACTAGCATTCCTCGTGGATATGTTGAGTTACAAAGCACCGTCTAAAACTTTAGCTATTGTAGAAAACGCTGGTGGTATATTGAGGAATGTATCTAGCCATATCGCCGTTAGAGAAGATTATCGAGCCATTGTAAGAGAAAGAGGATGTTTGCAAGTATTATTGCAACAATTACGATCACCTAGTTTAACCGTTGTTAGTAATGCCTGTGGAGCTCTATGGAATCTTTCTGCTCGATGTCCACAAGATCAGCGTTTATTATGGGACTTAGGCGCCGTTCCAATGCTTCGTAGTCTAATTCACTCCAAGCACAAAATGATTTCAATGGGTTCAAGTGCAGCCTTAAAGAATTTGCTAAGTGCCAGACCAGGTTCCAACAACCTTGTTCACTTAGATTCAACAGCACGCGGATTAGGCCTTCCAACTTTACCAACTCTAGTTGCTCGCAGGCAAAGAGCTTTAGAGCAAGAAATAGATCAAAACTTAGCAGAAACTTGCGATAATATTGAACCTAGCACATCACCTACTAACAAAGACGACAAGTTTTCATTCAAGGTTGAACACAGCTTCTTAGGGATCAATACGCGTAGTCTACGCTCTTATCAGTTGCACAACCAGCCCAGCACATCTAATATCAAATGTAACGGAGTCGCCAGAAGTGAGAGTAGGGACTCTATGCGTTCTATAACAAGTACACACTCTGATACTATGTTCGAAAGAGTAAATCGACATGTATTGAACGGATTATCTCCCACTGATATTCAAATAAAACAGCAATCTTCATCGTTGCATTCTGCAGTCGGTTTTGATAGTGGAATATCCACCGATGTTCATTCGAAAACATCTTCAGAGAAAAAATATACATTACGCTACAAAAATGCCATCCCAGATCGTTTGAAATCATCAGATTTTAATGCTCTTGGTGATCTTAGATGTACTAACTCTACTATTTCCTGGTCTTCTGCTCCAGATCAAGAATCCACTTGTTCACAAAATTTATTACATTCTTCTGTAGAAGACAATTTGCCACAAAGCATCTCGTCTATTCTAAAGACTGGCAGTCAATCCAGTATTTCAGAAGAAACGGAATTAAATACTTGCACAAAAACAGAATATGTGACTACAAAGACTGGGATAGAAACTTCGTTATCTTTTGTTAATAGTAACTCTCCTGTAAAAGATACTATCAGCTTTGAAAATGTCTATGATAAGAGTGTATTACACCAACGTAATTCATTAAATAGTATACAACAAACTATTTCACCAACTGTAAACCATCGAACAGAAGGAACTTTGTTTAGTGATTATGCCGTGACCGATTTAGATCAACCGACTGACTATAGTTTGCGTTATGCGGAACGAAGTTTAGAAGACGAAGAAAAACCACATTCCCATTATTTTACAAACAATGATCAGGAACTTATTCATGAAGATACAGTGAAGACTTATTGCACAGAAGGAACACCACATGGAACATCCTTGAATTCTTCTAGAGCAGCATCTGCTTCTGACTTACAAGAAGATACTCGGCAGAGAAATTTATTGAAAAAGATTCAAGAGCAAGGTAAATTACAAGATAAGGAAGAAATGAATTTAGAAACAAGTATCAAGCACAATAATATTGAAGAGGATAATCATACTGTGCAAAATCCATTAAGGTTTGTATATTTATGTATATGTATACATAAATATAATATAAACATACATAAAAAAATAAAATTCTTTAATTAGAAATTATAATCATATTTCTTTAATTTCAATTCTTTTAATTTTTAATGTTTAATTTATTTTTTTTAATAGTTCGAGAAGTACTCTTACACAAATATCTTCAAATAATTTACAATATGATGAAAGTAATAATATGACGTCCAATTCGACTAAAAATAAGCCTGGTAAGATGATTATTAAAAAAACTTTCTTTATATATGCATTTATATACATTATTATATATTTTAATAATAATTATCATAGTCATTTATATATATTTATTAGATTATTAAGAATATAAAATGAAAATATAAAATAAAAATTTTGTATTTACTTTATTATAGATATGAAAAAGAATTATGATACTCAAAGTGGCATGTTTGAAAAAAATGATAAATTCGATAAAAATTATCCCAACAATGGAGTTAATTCGTACGTGACCAGTGCATTGAAAGCTTCTAATGATTCAGGATGTAAGGAATTTGAACTAAAAGGAGATACCCGTAACATGCCTTATATATTAAATATAAACAACTCTTCCGAATGTTTAGATCAAGTCAGTGATGGTGATGAGGATGATGAAGATCTACTTACAGCTTGCATTAATATTGGAATGCAAAATAATAGGTAAAAATTATTTATTCAACATAAATTTATTATAATTATTAATGATATTTTATAATTGCATTTTCTTTACATATTTGTTAAAAAATGATTTATGAGTTTTTTTTTTTAGGCACAGGCATTCTTTTATTGGAAATAATTTTGAAAAAGTTCCACGAAATGAAAGTAACTTAGCTCGATATCAAACTAGTATTGCATTAGATCAAATGGAATGTAACTCATTAATCGATTCTACCATAAACAGTCTTGATATAAAACAATTGGAATCTGAAGAAACAATAAATTCCGAAATTTCTATAGATAATGTTATTGATAATTCATCAAAAATGAATATTGTATCAAATTATAGTCAAAGTACAGCTAAATTTATGCAAGAGGTAAAAAAATTACTTTATATAGTATTTTAATTAATCTATAAATCTAATTTCAAATCTTTATATATTTAAAATATATAACATATTAATATAATAGAAATATACAAATTTAAAATTTGCTCAATTTTAGTAATCTACTATATGTAAATATATATATATATATATATATATATATATATTATAAATTTAAATTTTTTTATTTCAGGAAACAGAATCTAAAATTTCAATACAACAATCAAATCAAGTTTTACAGAATGAATTAGGCAAAATAAAAAAGACAGAACACAATTCATTATTATGTGATGATAGACTATGCAACTTTTCATTGCCTTCGAATTTAAGAAATAGTCCAATATTACATGAAACAGTAATATTCAATACAGAACCATCTCAACAACAATATTTATCTAGTATCGATACCCATTCAAACGAAGATATGTCATCTTTGATTCATAATGATCTTATTGATAATGATCAAAATATAGATGATGATTCAACTAAGTGGGAAAATGATAAAGTATTAGAATCCATAGAAAATAAAAATATCGAGAATCCATCTATGGAACAATCTTATTCAAAAGTAACAAATTCAGACAGCAGCGAATCGATTGATTCTGTAGAACAATCCGAACATGCGCTTTTAGAATTATGCATACAACCTGCATTAGCTAAAACTATGGACAATATTCAACTAAATAAAACTATAGTGAATAAAAATAAGGATGAATTTGAAGAAAAACAAAATAAAACAAAAATTAGTAATGATGAAATTAATAAAACATATAGCGATATATGTGAGATAGATGGTATTAAGAAGGAAGAAATTGATTTAAAACACAAATTAATACAAAAATCTACAGATTCAACAAAATATGTAGAGAAAGAAGATGTATATCGACGTCAGAGAGATCCTGATGCCATGATTGCTTCGTTAGATCGATTAACTGCAACTTTAGTGCAGCAAACAGAAGCAATTCGAGAACGAGATTCTAATGCGATGAAACAAAGTGTATTGAGTGATACATGGAACGAGGATTCTCCTAATGATGTCTCTTTTCCTAGTATCAGCATTAGTGCTCCCATAATTGCTTCGTTTAAGAGCGATGTAGCAGAAGAACAAGGTACGATTACCTCAGAGTGTTATGAAACAATAAGCAGTGAAAGTGGTCCTATGTCGAATTCAAAAATTATTCAAAGAGAAGCAATTAAATTGGCTGAAGCAGTGGATGCAGAAATGAACAGACAAAATGAGTTAGATACAACTAGTATGACATCTATGGACTTAGATGCAATTAAACCTCCTTCTTCTATGGGGAGTTTATTATCACTAACTGCTAGCTACGCAGGTTCAGGTGATTGTAGCGAGTCATTCATTAATCGAGATAGATGTAATTCTGCGTCTTTACCTCCGATTCAAGTGAAAAATGTTTCTTTGACGGATTCCCGAAATAATCGTAAGAAATCACTTCCTCTAGGTGTAGTAGCTAAAAGAGCTCTTAATCAAAGCCAAAATCATACTGGCAGTTTAGAAAACTTGTTAAATGAATGTACTGGTTCGCATTTAGACAGTGTTAAACCACCATCAATGTTAGATGAATTACCAGATGTTGGCGATATGGAAAATAGTATGTTAAGTGTGGCAAGTATTACATCAGAAGTGGCGGATTCTAAAGATCAAGACTCGCAACACTTAAGTGGAAGCGATGCTGCATTTGATTTATTAAGACCTGTTGCAAATGTACTTTCTATGACATGTATGCGATATGCTGAAGCTATGCAGAATAGTGCAAATAATAGTTTGAGCGAATGCTTGGAAAATATCAATCCGCCTTCATTATTCAACGAAGTCTGCGAAATGGATGAATCGACAGTGGAACAAGCATCAGAGACAATATGCAGTGACACATTGTGTATTGACGCGGAATTACATACTGAAGAAGCTTCACATCCTGTTATGATAGATAAAATCGATGAGGCAGGCGATACTGATGAAGCGGTTACACCAATTTCTTCCGAGTATTGTCTCACTAGTTCAGCAGAATCTACGCCTAGAAAACGATTGCATAAAAATTTAACACCGAAACAGAAAAGGACTTTGGCCAAAGAAAGATATAAAACTTATACAATAGCTGCGGAGCTTGACAAAAAAGAAACGGATCAACAGGAAAATGTAGTGCAAGAAAAGGTTTCACGGGGAAAGTGTTCGCCTTTTTCGAAATTAACACCTAAACAACGCAGACAAGAAGATAGAGCAAGATTTCAAACGCAGGTATTAGAAAATCCTTTTCCTGATATAAATCAAGATCAAAATAATCAACAAGAAATTAGTACTATTTGTGAACAAGAAAATTCTGAAAAACCAACAAGAGCTATATCCCCTGTAAAATCTGCTATTCCTACATTAAAATTATCTGCTTGTAAAACATTAATTAAAAAACGTACTGAGCAAAAGAAAAATAGAGAAAGATATCGTACAAGAACTTTGAACGATTCAGAATGTATATTCAAAGATATAGAAAATAATGCTACAAATGTAACAGAAGATAGGATACCAGATTCAACACACAATATTGAATCAGAAATTCAAACCATGTTAGAACAAAATGCAACCATTGTATTGAATACATTAAATGAATCAAATAAAACGAATGAAACTACAGAGGAAGGATTATTAGATTGCGAAACTATTAGTTTAGTATCAAATGAATCGGAATCCGAACGTAATCTTCGAATGCGATTTGTCAACGGTGTTTCGAAAAAGTTAATAGGTTCATATTCTCAACAAATAGATAACGTACAGGAACCAAAAAATGTTTATAAAGAAACTATTGAAATTGAAGCACCTAAATCACATGAAGACATCAGGTATACCGACAACGTGGAGACTGAAAGCGAGGATGAATCAAATAATATTGAAGATCCACCTAGAGAAACAAAAAGACCTCGAATAATTAAACCAGGAATGGTAAGGGATCCCAGCAATGATTCCAATGCTACAGATAAATCAGATCCAGAAAGTCCAAAGGCTATTCGAGGCAGAAGAAAAGCTCTCTATTCAAATCCAATTACACGAAAACCAACACCACAATCGTCTCCATTAAAACAAGTGAATCCTGTTAGTGGAATACCTATAGGACGCAGTAATACTTCACCTATTGTAAGAGCCACTAGAGCTACTACCCTCAGGCAAAATAATAATAGTCCAAATGTCATGATGAAAGAATCTGCAAAATCAAATATAAATCTTAAAGCAACTTCTAATTCAACAGATGATAAAAAAACAAAAGTTTTGTCTATAGCTGCAAAAAGAGCATCGGTTCCTCAAAAAGGATCGTCGTTAACTTTCACAAAATCTGTAAAAAGACATAGCACACCTCCAACATGTTCTTCTTCAAATTATCAACAAGAGACCAAATCAGATGTAACAGTGAAACCTTTAGAACGACAAGGTACGTTTACCAAAGACGAACCAGAAGTAGAAAATGCTCCTACCGTAGTTTCTACATCTTCTTCTCCGATAAAAACGAAGATTGCAAAACCTATTAGAGGTGCGACATCCAAGATACATCCAACAACAGGGAAACCAAAAATTTCACCAAAGACACATCAAGCACACCAATCGAAATCATCAAAAGGAAATGTTTCAGAAAAGAATCAATCTTCAAAAGCGTTATTAGTAACTCCAAAACGATTACCTACAGGAAAAATGACTCCAAAAATACCAGTTAATAATCAAAATACTACACAAGCAGAAAACGGTAAAGTCTTTCGAAAGGTAGGTCCTCTTGGTCAGAGATCTAACAGTAATTCCAGTATAGTATCAAATTCATCAACTGGAATGCAGACTAGAAAATTGGCAAAGGAAGCAACTAGTAAAATTGCAAGTTTGTGGAAAAAAGTAGAAGAGAGCAAGAATAAGCAACGGTTTGAGAAATCAGATACTAGGCAATGGGTACAGCCTGGCAATTGTGCCAATGATGTAGATGCTCCAATTTTAGTGAGCAATCCACCAACTTTTAGATTATTCCGTAGCTCAACATTTGAAGGAGTACCTCAAGAGAATGATAATCCTGAATCAGCTTTGTACAAATCTAAATTGAAAAGACCGTTGGTAATGGGTGTGCAACCTAGTAAAGTGAAATACAGAAACTCTTGTGATTTAAGCGGAATGAACGCGAATGATGCTCCTTGCAAGATTCCTGTAAAGTCTAGCGATGCTTCTACGTACAAGAAAGATACCATAGACATAGGTGATGCTTCAGTTGTTTTACGAAAATCACAGCATACTGAATCCTCCACGATAGAGATAGATCCTACGAAACGGATATCACGTCTTGGTTCCTTTATACGAGTAGATTCAAATGGAGAAGGTTCTGCACAAACATATGTTAGTGGGGCTGGTATGCGTACACCCGCATCCGCTATCGTACCGCCTTTTAATTATAATCCGAAGCAAGATATTTCACAAGCAGCCAAAGTAACGCCTGATGGAACTGAAAGCAAATTTAAAGTGACAGATTGTCATAGTGACATAGTCACAGCTTCTACAAGAGTAACAACAGTATAGTGGGAATTTGTTATAAAATAAATAATTTCTTTTTTCATAGTATCGCTTTTCTGTTTCGGGCTAGTCATTGTACATTTGCTTTACTGTTATATTGATCATAAATCAATATGCAGTACATATTAAGAGTACTTGATAAGTAAAGTTTTCTTTTTTTACCTCATCGTTTAAAGAGCACCGAAAATCTTCATGGTATCTCACTAATTTTTACACACTGAATATAAGAAAATAATTAATTGAATTTTTTTTTTTATTATGCATGTGCATTGCAATGCAATCTTTTTTTTTTTTTTTTTTTT